CTTAAAACTCATGCCAGGCGTGTGTGTGTGCGTGCCCAAGATCCCGAGAGGAGAATGGAGGAGAAGGGATTGCGGCATGGCCATCCCCTCTGGGTGGTGATTTCTTGCTTTCTGTCTCTCTGTCTCTCTCTGTCTGGCGAGCGCACGTGCCCTATAGCGAAAATCTCTCCAAAAAAGCCAAACAAACAAACAAACAAAAAAATTAATTGTTTATTTTTATTTATTCATTCATTTATTTTAATTTAAACAGAGAGAGACACACACAGAGAGAGAGAGAGAGAGGGAAAGTGAGAAAGCAAGCCACCATGTCTGGGACTCAAACCAAGGTTGGCCATGTGGGAGTGTCCAGCACCTTAACCACCACGCCACCTACTGGTCCCCTCATTCATTTATTTTAATTTGACCAGAGAGAGACACACAGAGAGAGAAAGAGAATGTGAGAAAGCAAGCCACCAGGTTCAGCATTCGAACTGTGGTCGGCCAAGTGGGAATGTTCAGCATCTTAACCACCACGCCACCTGCTGGTCCCAAATAAATAATTCTTAAAAAAAAAAAAAGAAAGAAAGAAACCCCCTTCCCCAATTTCCTCTGACCTCTTCCCTCACCAGCACATGCCTGTTGTGGACAGAGCACTGGACTGGGAGTCCAGCGACTCCTGAGATGACAGTCCTGGCTCTGTGCTAACAGCCTGGGCTGGGCTTAAGTGGCTTCACTTGCACAGTGGAGCAGATGGCCCTGGTGACCTCTTCTGAGTCCTCACGAGATGAGAGTGTGCATGAACTGGGATGTCCGGGCTATCTTGGCCAAGCAAGCCAGATGGGGTCCCAGGTGTAGTCTCCAGGCCAGCACTGAGCTGTCTCTCTGCAGTGCACTGCCAGAAGATCATCCACAGGGACATCAAGCCATCCAACCTGCTCCTGGGGGATGATGGGCATGTGAAGATCGCCGACTTTGGTGTCAGCAACCAGTTTGAGGGGAATGACGCTCAGCTGTCCAGCACAGCCGGGACCCCCGCATTCATGGCCCCCGAGGCCATTTCTGATTCCGGCCAGAGCTTCAGTGGGAAGGTAAGTCACAGGGCTTCAGTCAGGTTGGGTTCAGGTGAAGGAGTGGAACAGCTTGCAGCGGGAGCCCAGTCTCCAGCTCAAGGGTGCCAAGGTCCTTGCATCTTGGAGTGACATATATGCCTTTTCCTTGAAGCCTGACAGACTTCCCAACTTTGGCCCCCTCTCATTTTCCAGCAAAACAGCCCCAAATCTCCCGTGCAGGTATTTACTGCCTATTGCTCTGTGCTGGGTCTGGGCTGGACTATGGAAAGGTCAGAACCAAAGCAGGCCGTGCTTGTTCTTCTGGGTGGTGAACGGGCAGCAAAGCGCATGGTTAGCGGAGATCAGAGGCTTCCTCAGATCTGGGACATGGCAGCATTTGAACTGGACCTTGAACAATGCGGAGGATTTGGGCAGGAGGTGCAGCCCAGAGAATGTACAGAGAACTGAGAGGCACGCGGAAGGGGGCAGAGCTCACAGGGCCTGGAAGTTTGGGCTTTCTCCTAGTGACGGAGGCAGGTGGTGAAGCTTTCTAAGGAAGGGGTTTCTGCAGCCTGGTGTGTTCCCTTGGGCGTATGCCCGTTCCCACCTATGCACTGCACCCCCCTACTCCTCACCAAAGAGGTGACGATTGAGAGCCACTTGGACATGTGTCTGGGTGTGGAGCTTAAGAAAAAGGTCACAGATGTAGGAGAATTTTTTTCTCTACTTTTTATCTTGATGTAATTCTAAATTTATAGAAAAGCTGTAAGGATGTGACAGCAAAATTCTACATGTCTTTTTACCCAGGTTCACCAATAATTGACATTATTTGTCTTTATTTGTATGTTTTTATATTATGGGTTTTAGAGCTATTTAAAAGTCTGGTCAGGGGCCAACCAGGTCTTCAGTGGTTAAGGTGGCTGGATCCCACATGGCTGACTGTATGATTCAAGTCCCAGGCCCAGTGGCTTCAAAAACAAGCTGGGTGCAGGGGGCTAGCAGTTGGTGTGGTGGTTAAGGCAATGGACTCCCACAGGGCTGGCCATGGTTCGAGTTCTGGACCTGACAGCTTTCTTTCTTGCTCTTCTTTCTCTCTTTGTGGTAAGCACACATGACCTATAGCAAATTAAATAGTAACAAAATTAAATAAATAATTCTAAACAAACAAACAAAACAAAAAAACAAGCTGAGTGCAGGGCCAGCGGGTGATGTGGTGGTTAAGGCGCTAAATTCCCACATGGCCGCCCGTGGTTTGAGTCCCAGACCCAGTGGCTTGAAAAATCATGTTGGGCATGTGTGTGTGCATGCCTAGAAGCCCAAGAGAATAAAGGAGAAAGGATTGCAGCGTGGCCACACTGCCCCCCATCCCCGGGGAGTGCTTTCTCACTTTCTCTGTCTCTCTTTCTCTTCCTGGTGAACGCACATGCTCTAGAGCCCAAAACAAAAACAAGCAGGAAGTTTATCATTGATAAAGACTGTTACATGACGTACAGATCTTATTTATTTAAGACGATTTGCTATAGGACACGTACGCTCACCAGAGGGAGGCAGAGAGAAGAGTTGAGAAATCACCCCCCAGGAGAGGTGACCATGCCTCAGTCCTTTCCTCTCCATTCTCCTCTCAGGATTTTGGGCATGCATGCACATGTGCCTGGTGTATTTCTCAAGCCACTGGGTCCAGAACTTGGACACTGCTGTTGACCAGGTGGGATCCAACCATCCTAACCACCACTCCGATGGCTGACCCCTATAGACCTTATTTAAATGTTGTCTGTTGTTTTGATACTGTCTTTTTTTTTTTTTCTTTTGAGAGGTTTTTGCTATAGGGTGCATGCGCTTGCCAGACAGAGAGAGAAAGACAGAGAGACAGAAAGCCAGAAATCATGCCCCCCTGGGGGGATGACCACGCCGCAATCTCTTCTCCTCCATTCTCCTCTTGGGATCTTGGGCATGCACGCACACATGCCCGGCATGAGTTTTAAGCCAGGGGGTCCGGGACGCGAACTGCGGTCGACTACATGGGAGTCCAGCGACACAGCCATTATGCTAACTGCTGGTCCCGATACTGTCTTTTTTCTGGCGCAGGATCCAATCCAGGATCACTTATCACGTTTATGTGTCATGTCTCTTAGATGTCCTTTAATCTGAGGAAGACCTCAGCTTTTCTTTGTCTTTTCTGACCTTGACATTTTGGAAGAGAGCAAGCCTATTATTTTGTAGAATGTTGCTCGGTGCCCCAGTTGGGCTCAGATCTCTCTGTGGTAGGATATGTAGGTGGAGACTTGCTAATCACTGAGGTCAGAGAGAAGAGGCGGGGCCTTGGCGGGGAAAACATGAAAGGCACACATCAGAATCTGGGGTGCGGTGGAGCCTGATTGGTGCTTGGGAGCCTGGAGGAGTTGTCGCAATGGCATGGGAGGGTGTGGACAGGGCCTTGGTGTGAGCAGGAGCTACTTCTAATGTCAGAAAGAAGGGGGGTGGTGGCATCTCCTGTGGACTACTAGTAGAAGGGATGACCCCTTGAAGCCAGAGCTGGTTTAGTACGTGTAAGTTCAGTCGATGCCAGCATTTCTGGAGTGCCCCTGTGTCCTGGGGGCTACATATGTGATCTTGTGGATGAAGGAGGTTTTGTACCTGTTGCGTTGGAAACATCTGGTTTGGGCCTGTCCCTGAGAACCACTGGAAGGCAGGGGCCTCGTTCTGGTTATCCCGCGTCCCCCGGGCTCAGCACACGACCCAGCATGGAGCAAACACCTGGGAGTGTTAGTTAAACGAATATGTGTTCCCGGCAGGCCCTGCCCCATAGCCCACTGGAGCTGGGTGGGCAGGGGTGACACCTGCTGGGGGCCTGATGTGAGCATGTTTCCTTCTAGGCCTTGGATGTGTGGGCCACGGGAGTGACACTGTACTGCTTTGTGTACGGGAAGGTGAGTGCTGAGTGAGCAAGCAGGGTGGGACAGGCCCAGACCCCCGCACCGTGGACGGGGTGATGGAGGCAGGCCCTTCCCCTGTGTCCGCAATAAAGTGGGCTTTGAAAGAGCCTGTCTGGCCCAGAGAAGCCTGAGGGAGAAAAGGCTTTCCCTATTGGTCTCTTGTCTGCTTGGGAGGGATTCATGTGGAGTCCCAGGACTGTAGAAACCCAGGGGGAGGTGGAAATGCTGGTGTTGCCACCTCTCCACGCAGAGTGCTCCGTGTCCCTCTGTCCCTTGACACCATTCATTTGCACATCCTTCTGTTCACTCAGTTGTTCATTCAGTTAGTATATTGTCCTTTACTCTTGCTCATGTCAAGCTGGACCTTGGGGACGTCCAACGTGGGTATGGCTGAGACCCCTGCCTACAGGTGCTCCTCCTCTAGAGACCACAGGAGGTGCAGGAGGGGAGCTCCGTGAACACGTTCCCAAACTCCAGGCCCTGAGAGTGGAGACTTTGCTGTGAGCAGCTCTGGCACTGGCCTCATAGTTCCCTTGGTGATTCATTCGTTCAGTCAACATTTATCGAGCCCCTGCTGCTGAACAAGTTAGACGAGGTCCTTCCTACCTGTCAGGGAGCCCAGAGGTGCCCCCACCCACCAAGGGGTGAGTGCCAGTTGCCCAGCATGGGACAAGGCTTTGGGCCTGCATCTTCTGCCTCTCCACCCCGCAGTGCCCGTTCATTGATGATTACATCCTGGCCCTGCACAAGAAGATCAAGAATGAGCCCGTGGTGTTTCCCGAGGAGTGAGTTGTCCGCCCAGGGGACCCAAGGGGCTCCTCCGTACTGGTGGTGGAGAATTGGGGGTGCTGTTCCGTAGCGTGGGGGGCCCTGAACAGATGAAGGGGTTGGGTGTGGAGCCAAGGATCTCGGAGATGTCAGGGTTGGATCTCGTTGTACGGATGGGAACTCGGAGCCCCAGGTCGCACACTCACGGGCCTCCAGCGGAAGGCTGTGCTTGTTCTGAAGCACTCTCCTTTGGGCCTGATTCTGTCACGGTGGCCCTCCTGCTCGCTGTCCGTGTTTGTAGCCCACGCAGGAAAGGCCACTCCTTTACTATCTGGACACTGTTCAGTGGCACCCACACAGGCCGTATGCTCGAGGGGAACCTCCACGTTCCCCACATGGGGTTGGGAGCTCCAAGGTGCCAGTGGCATTCTGTCCATTTCCTGCTTAGCCTTTCCTCCCACTGTACCCGCTGCCAGGGGGCTGTTTCTCTCCAGCCCAGGAGCCTTAAAAGAGATTTTGGGACCAGCAGTTAGCGTAATGGCTATGTCGCTGGACTCCCATGTAGTCGACCATGGTTGGTGTCCCAGACCCGATGGCTTAAAACTCACGCCGGGCGCGTGTGCGTGCATGCCCAGGATCCCGAGAGGAGAATGGAGGAGAAGGGATTGTGGTGTGACCATCCCCCACGGGGGGTGATTTCTCGCTTTCTGTCTCTCTGTCTCTCTCTGTCTGTTTGGTGAGCACAGGCGCCCTATAGCAAAAACCTCTCCAAAAAAAAAAAAAAAAAGAGAGAGAGACTTAGTGCCCACCACACAGAGGGAGGCAAAGGCAACAGTGCCCAGTGGGCTCCTCACCCCAGCTTAGATGGACAGGCTCCTGAAGAACCATGGGAGCAGAGAAGCCTGGGGCTTGGGCAGACAGTCCCAGCAATATGTGTGTGTGTGTTTGGGGGGGGGGGAGTCTCCTGTCCCGGACACACTCTTCCGGGTGGCAATTAGCAACCTCTCTGGGGCTCAGTTTCCTCCTCTGCGAAATAAGAGAGGATCTTTCCTGGTACCCGCCAGGTGGAGAAGAGGGTAGGATGGTGAGTGGGAGTGAAGCCCTTGGTCTCCCACGAAGCAACTCTTCTCACCTTATCCTCACCCTCTCTGCCACCCAGGGGTTATCCAGCACCCATGGAGCCCTGCTGTGCACGCACTTGTTCTGAAACGCTTTCCTTCAGGCCTGCTTCCTTCATGGTGGCCTTCCTGCACTCTGAAACTCAGTCTTGCTGTCTGTGGCGTGACGTTCGGGGTAGTCTCTGATCACAAAGTAGGGAGGGAGAGACGGGCAGGAAGGGATTCTTGTCAGCGGCCTCCTCTAATGTCCTCCCTCCCCCTCTAGGCCAGAGATCAGTGAGGAGCTCAAGGACCTAATCCTGAAGATGCTGGACAAGAATCCTGAAACAAGAATTGGGGTGTCAGACATCAAGGTGGGATGCTAGGGGGTCTTGGGCTGAGCTGGATTGGGGCAGCAAAATCAGGCCTCAGTTTCCCTTTCTGGAGAGACTGATACCAGGACATACATGTATTGGGTTTGGGTTTGGGGCTTGTGCAGATGGCTGGTGGGATGCCCAGGTCCCTTCCTGACCCCTTCCTCCCCTCTGGCCTGCACAGTTGCACCCCTGGGTGACCAGGAATGGGGAGGAGCCCCTTCCCTCTGAGGAGGAGCACTGCAGCGTGGTGGAGGTGACTGAGGAGGAAGTGAAGAACTCGGTCAAGCTCATCCCCAGCTGGACCACGGTGGTAAGAGGGTGAGGGGCAGGCAGAATGTCCCTTATCCTGGGAGGGCGCGAGGAGGGCACGTCCGTGGCCTGAGACTTGCTCTGTGCTTAGCTTTGGGGGTCAGAGGGCAACCTGGCAGCCAGTCACAATCTAGGTCACTGAGGTCTCGGTTCTGCTGGAGGCCCATGGAGGAAAAGGTCACATTATTCAGCCCCGTGGGAGGGGGCCCGGGAAGCTCGGTGAGGAGAGTGGACGGTTTGAAGGAACACACTAGGTCTGCCCGTGCAGAGCAGCAGCGCTCCTCACGACCGAAGGAACGTTCCTTCCCTCCAGACATTTGTCATGGTCACTGCCGTCCAGACACAGTACGAGGTGCCAGGGACAGGACAGTGGCAGGGCCTTTGATAGGAGAAGTGGCCCCAGGACCCCTCATGTATAGGCGGTGAGACGCCACCTGCTCCTCCCTCTGGTTTCTCATAGTTCAGTTGTCCTCATCTTCCTCTGGGTATCTTCGTGTTAACAGATGGAAGTTATTGAAATGTGATTGATATGTCCCTGGTGGCATTTGGGGGTTTAGGGGACACGGAGAGCCCTGCCCTTTCTGGCCTGAGAGTGGGCCAGGGTAAGCATAGGCCCAGAGAGATGCTGGGTGGCTTCGGGCCCCGCACATCATCCCTCCACGCTGGGTAAATCCCTGCCTCCTGCTTGCTTGCTTTGCTCTATGGGGTCCCTGGAAGCAACTGAGTCTCACAGGGTCCCCACTGCCACTTAGCCACCGTGGTCTCTCCTACACCACTAGAATAGCCACCCAAATTGTCCCCTTGCCTCTCCCCCGCCATTCACACTCCACTCAGCAGGGTCAGGATATGGATGACACAGTCCTGTCACTTTTCAGCTCAGGCCTTGCTCACTCGGATTCCCACAGCCCCCACTTGCCTGCGAGAGTCCGCTCTCCCCTCGTTTCCCCAGAGCTGTCTACTCCCTTCCTTTCATCTGCTCGACTCCAGCCTTGCGCCATGGAGGTGGTCGCCCCAGGACCTTGGGACTTCTTTTCCCTCTGCCTGGAGGGCTCCTCCCGACATGCACTTGACTGGCTTCCTCTCCTCCGTCCGGCCTTTACTCCCATCACCTCCTCAGTGAGAAGCGAGCCCTCCCCAGCCCTGACCGACAGCTGCAGCCTCCCCGCTGCCATACCACGTCCCCTCTCCTTGCCGTGGTTTTCCTCCTTAGCCCTTGGAAAGTACATGTAAATACCGACATGTGTTTTACTGGTTTGTCTTCGCTTTTAATCACCTGTCCCCCAACTAGACTATAAGCTCTACGAAGGCAAGAACTTTTGCCTCACTTGGACCCTGTGCCTAGAAGAGTGTCTGGCACTCAGTAGGTGCTCGGTAAATAGTCGATGGAATGAACGGAAGGGCGAGCGAGTGAGTGAGAAGACATGCAGAGGTGCGCCTGGGTGAGTGTGTGCGTGTGCGAGTCTCTCTGACGTGGGCAGGAACAGGGACAAAGGTGGAGCCAGGGCGTGGCAGCCGCCCCTCTCTGGGCAGCCCTCAGTGCCTTTGCTGTTGCCGCCCCCGAGCATCTCCCCCAGGCCTTAGGGGTGCTCCCTCTCTGCACTGCCTGGCACAGCCCTCCTCCTGCCCTCCTTCCTGTGGCAGCCATGTCGTCCCTAGCTACACTTCCCGCTGAGTCCGTCCTGTGCTTTCAGGCTGGCTTGCAGACCCTTCATGCCCTGCTCTGCATCCCTCTGCTCCCCAGGCACCCACAACTGTAACCCCTCTGTGCTCCGGCGCCTAGTATTCCCTCCGCTGGTTGAGAAGACCCTCAGCAGGGCCCTTGGGGAGTCAGAGCCACCCGATGTGTCTAAGAGCCCAGGGCCTATGTCCCTCATGCTAACCTGTCCACCCCCCAGATCCTGGTTAAGTCCATGCTGAGAAAGCGTTCCTTTGGGAACCCGTTTGAGCCCCAAGCACGGAAGGAAGAGC